GCTCACCTCTGTGCTGCTGGATAAAACGCAATGGGAGACGCCAGATGAGTTCAACCCCAACCATTTCCTTGATGCAGATGGGAACTTCGTAAAGAAGAAAGCGTTCCTGCCCTTCTCCACAGGTAACGAAAGCGTTTGATCCTGCATGGGGCACCGAGTTCTCAGTGCCCCTCAGAAGATATTAGCCAAGGCAGGATCCAAGCCTCTGTTGGGAACAGCACAGACATCAGTGGTGGGGATGGCTTAGAAATACCCGCCCTGGGTTTTGATGACTTGCAAACAGTCCCTCAGCCCACACTGGGAGGCACACCGGGTCCTGGTGTTTAAAGACACCACTGGGACCTACAGAAGACTCAACGCCTTCAAGCAAGAGTTCAACCTTCCCTCTGTCTTGGGAAGGCCAGTTTCTAGGGTGTCCCAGATCAATTCCTTGCAGACTCAGAGTGAAACAGCCTTGTTCAAATGCCTGTAGGAGACCAACGGTGATGGCTGCTGAATATCATGCCACACTATTTTGCATTTCTGAGGCCTATGCTGTCCCTCACACTGTTGCTACCAAGTAGTAGGGAAGAAGTGTCGGGCTGAGCCACCACTTACCCAATCACTCCACCAACAGCATTCTTTTGGCATTGCAGGGCGGAGAAACTGCATTGGAGAAAGTCTTGCCACGATGGAGCTCTTCATCTTCTTCACAGGCTTGATCCAGAAATTCACTTTTAAGCCTCCACCTGGGGTCAAAGAATCTGAGCTGGACACGACTGCAGAGGCTGGATTCACCATGAGACCCCATCCACAGTGTGCCTGCGCTGTGCTACGCCAATAAGCCCAAGGCTCTGAACTGAGAAAAATCCACGTAATTGTTTTGTGCAGAGCCTAGCGGATGCACAAAGGAGAAACCAGATCCCTGTGCAGCAGATACAAGTAGTGTCTTCTTACTCAAAGCCTTGCAAGTACTGGCTGTATGCTTAAAATATCTGTTGAACAAATATTTTTCTAAGAAGTAGAGGAGGGCTGGTGGGTAAGGGTACCTGGAAAATTCCAGCCAGATACATGACTGGAAATGACAGGACAGCCACTACTTTACACATCAAATACACAACATAAGAAAGTTATTCTAGTTCTGAGCTTCTGGGAGAGGATGCTTCTCAAGAGTGGATCATTTCTTCACTTGGAGAGCAATATTAGATACAAATCTTGGTCATTGTCTAATCCCTGCTCTTTTCCCATTCCCTACTGCACACGGGATAAATTATTCCCAGATACCTGCTCTTTCTGTGTGTGATGGATGCTCTTCCAACACTTTCCAGACTTCTGGTTCGAATCCCAGATGCCAAACGCTGGACTTCTTAGGTTCCCCTTGCTCTGAGGGTACAGGCTCTGGTACACCTGCACTGATGTGGGACTTAACAGCTCTCCCCAGGCAAGTGAAGACACTCCCCCCCGCTACATTTTTGCAAAGGTAGCTCAAATACATAAGCACAACTTCTCTTCAGAGCACCACGTGTGAACAAGCAAGCATGCAAACATTGCAAAGATGCTTCTAAAATGTTCTTTCCTTAAGCAGCACAGAAGCTGGGCAGATCCAGGCAAAGTGACAGAAAACCTGTCCATCTCCCCTTTCCTTACTTCTCCCAGCTTTCTGTGAGACATTCCCATCTCTTCTCCTCTGAGATGACTAGAGATGGATCCTCATCACATCCCCTCATCAGTGAAAGCAACAGGAGTCTTTTACAGCAGCTGGCTTCTTCCTTGGTCTGAAATGCTGAGTGAAGGAGCTGATAGGACTGCAATGGGAGATGGGTTGAGCCATTGTCCCACAAAGTGTTTGAGCCGGTTAACCCCTGGGAGAGATCCTAGTCTGCTGTAGGATGGGGAGGAGAAGACTCCTCCTGTTCCCTGCATACTACCTGATTCTTCCAGGTTAATGGTAAATATATAGTGCATATGTCTTTGCTCCCAGCCTTGCTCGCAGATGAATGCAGTTGGACTGGGGGCACATAAAGCCTCAAGGCTTAGCTCTGCCCTCCTCATACAGCCCGAATTTGTGGCTGGCAGGGCATTTTACCCCAGTAAGGACTGCAGGGCTGGGCTGTGTGTGACTCAGAGGGATCGTGGTGCCATCTTGTGGGAAAAAGAAAATTGAAATTATATTCTGCACAACGCTTATTGCTCGGGCCAGTGCGCAGAGGGGCTGCAGATACAAGGCAGCCCTCATTTTACAAATCTTTACAGTTGCTGCAATCCTTGCACCTGATCATTGCCCCTCTGAGAGCAGGAACCCCTGGTCCCAGCATCATGCAGCGCTAGGGATGGCAGGCTGGGCTATGGGACATGCTGCCCAGCCAGCTGCGTGTGGCATGAGCCACAGACGCAGTGTGAGTTGGACTTGTTCAGATCTTACTTTCAAAATCAAGCCACCTGTCCTGCCCTGAGATGTTTGCCTTCAATTCAGGTCAGTGTGTTGCAAGGCACAAACATGTTTTGCAGCTAGAGGGAAGACCCTCAGCGCCACTGAGGAATGTGGAAATGGTATTTCCACCCCTAAGAACCAATGTTTTCTGCTAGATAAATCTGTAGCTGAGTCATAATCAGTGTTCTGCCATCATTTGGCTGAACAAATAGATGGGAGGCAGGCACTCTCTTTTGCGGATATATTCAGCTGTCTAATTCAGTGTGCTGGGGAGTGATCACTTCCATCCATCTGCTAACACAAGCACAAGCAGGATGCACTTTTCAAAGGAATCAGAGAAACCTGTTTTCCTTCAATGTTTGCACCTGGTAGCTCATGGCTCTTGTTGAGGCACAGGTATTGCGCAGTCTGCTGGATTTCTGTACATGGCCAGCACTGCTGCAGGCTCTGCTCTGTCTGCCGGAGAGTGCCAGTGCAGAAAGTGGTGTCAAAAAAGAGCAGGCTCTGAAGGCTGCTATGCCATGTAGGAAGGGATCCATCTCTCACTTTCGAAGCCAAGACCGCAAGAGCCCATGGCAAGGGAGCAGGTCTGAGCTTCCACCAGTGAATTCATGCAGATTTGAACCCAGCCCAGTTTTGTCCCCTGGAGCACTAGATTGTTGCTGTATCTGTCTTTTGAGTTCATATTACTTTTGGAGGGGGCTAGAGCAGGAACAGTCCTGGCCTCTCTGAACCCAAAGGCAAAAGTCTTTTATTCCAGCAAGGCCAAGTCTTCCTTCATTGAGTCGATATGTGCTTGCTCCTCAGTTGCTTTACCTGTCCCTGAAGAAGACCCCATCCTGCTGCCACCACTCCTCAAGTGTGACATTGCCAGCAGGTGATGCTTTGGGAGAACAAGAGGTGAGGGGCTCAGGGTCCAAGGCACTAAACAGAGGGACAGCATCAGCATCAGCGAAGCTGTGGTGGGAACCTTTCATTCAGCCTCTGCAAGCAAGAGGCAAAGACAAAAAAAGTGAAAAACGAAGGCTATCCCCAGGACTGACTAGTAGCCCGTAGCTGAGGACAAAAGGAAAGCTCTTTGCCCTGGAAAATATACTCTGCAGATATGGAGGGTCTCCTCTTGAGCTGTTTTTTAAGTAGGATCAGGGTATGCAGAGCCTGTGAGATACAAGTAAAACTTAAAATATTCGCTGTCACTCTGGGCCCAGGATCAACCTTTCATGGCATTTGCGTTTCTGTGTAATGCAAAGTTGGGTGGCAGGCATATGACATAAAATGAAGACATGGGATTAAAACTTTATTGAGTTCCCGTGAAGGGGGGAACAAACAATATGATAAAGCACATGACAAGATAATGCATATGGAGAAGTGGCAATTCACAGGCAGATAAGTGGATAAAAAATTGCCTGAGCTATACATCAACTGGAATAAGATTGCAGAATATGATGGCAGATAAGAGTGCTACAGACAGGGACAACAGCCAGACAAAGCTACAGAGGAAAGGAAAACAACCAAAACCAGGTCTCGCCTAATCCCTGATCCCAATTCTCCTTGTGTATGTGCGTGTAACACAAGCACTGTGAAATTAGGCACCATTTGCAAGGAAATTGCATGGCTGGTTCCAATGGCCAGACCATCCCAAATAGCATACTGACTGCTGATGTTGGCTCTTAACATTACCCAGGAGGTCTGAAGAGAGGAACAGTGTTTGCTCCTATTTAACAAGGTCAGAAAAGACAGAGATCCATAAACCTAGAAATGGGTCTAGTTTATTTTTCTGTATCATTAACCTTTTATGATCAGTTGCTGGTACAAATCTCATGTGGCCTTATGATTTAGACTGCAAACTTAGAAGTGTAGGTCTTGTTTCATTCAGACTGTGAAGCAGTGTTGAACTTGGTGCTAGCAGCCCTTGCTTATCTTAACAGGTTTGCAGACTCTGGGGTATCTTTTAGGACACTGTTCCAAGGCAGAAATAACTTCATCCTCAAATCACATGATTCGGTCTGTTCTTTCACTCTCAGTGTATGACCTGGCTGCCTAGGCTGGTAGGATTTTGCCAGAAGCTATGGGTAATCAGAGAGCTTGGAAAAGTTCAGCAGGTACCTACGGATGGTTCAAGTGTGTGACTCACAGTGTATTTCTGTGGCTTCCAGCAAACGGCAGTGCGTCTTTCCTCAGGATTTCGGGCAGATTTCTGTGACATTATGAACCTCACTGCTTTGCCATGGGAACCTGGGTGTCACACCTACTACTCAGGGCTGCATCCCCTTCACCAGATCACCTCCTTGGCCCCTCCATCAGCTCCATGCACAGTCTGTCTTGAGAAAAAGTGTGTGTATGTCAATCACAATCATGGTTTCTAATTGATCATATGCACCTCCTCACAGCGCAGGAGCAAAGAGGGGCTCAGCAACCTATGGGGCAGATGTAGTGGTGGAAAGCAGTGGAGTGGAAGTGGATGGAGACAGTGGGAAGGGGATGTGAAAGAGGGTGATGTGGCAGGATGGGGGGTGGCGAGTCCTAGCATAGCTAAGTTTGGTCTAAGCAGCTTCCCCACTTGTTGGGTTGCTCTTCAGCAAGGCTGTGGTTATTCACGCAGGACAGCACAGGTTGCCTGAGGCTGAGGCCTTAATGTGAAAGTCGTCTGGGGGACGGTAAGGTCCAAGTCAGACTCTGAAACTCCTGGCTGGGGTTGAAAAGTAAATGTCTGCAACAACCCTACAAAGAAGACAAACAGTTCCATCTTGGCGAGGCTTTCTCCAATGCAGTTCCTTCGCCCTGTAGATGAAAGCAGTGTGTTTACTTGATGGAAAGATCAAACTAGAACATTTGCCATGGACACGTTAGCATCTGAGATGTTGCAACGGAAGCAGGAGTGAAACCTTGACATGCACCAGAGCATTCTGAAGCAGAAGAGCCTGTGTTGCTAAAGGTAGCTGTCCCAGTCACACTGGCCCAATGTGCCTGCCTGGTCTCTTTTATCCCACAGCTACCTGCAGCAGCAGGCCCCAGCCATGTTACAGGGTTATTGTGCATTCATGACGTACCCTCTCCTCTCCTTAGCTTTTCCAACCCTCTCAGCATCTTTAACCCTTTCTCTTTAAAAAGCAGCCTGATAAAAAAATGCCACCACCTCCCAAAGCAGAATGGTTTGAAACTCACTTTTCCTGTGGAATTTATCCTAACATCCCACTTTTAAAAAAGACTGTGTTTCTTCTTTCCTTCCCCCTCTTTGTGTTAGATTCTCAGCCCTTGCATGATGGTCCCTATGCGGGTGAAGCACTTGGTGGACAGTGAGAACTGGCTTCCTAATGTCAGAAGTCACTGCTGAAGGGCTGTGGTTGGAGCACGTTCTGGAATCCCTTCAAGCCATCCTTTCAGAGGAACAGCTGGGAAGTGTAAGGTTGCACGGGAGGGTTTGTAGGATTCTGCAGGAGATCTCCCGTTATGGTACTTATGGGCTCCTGCAGTGCTGGGATTTGTTAAACTCCCACCAAGACTGCTCCATCCAGCTGTGCTCTCTCATAATGCACCTTGCTGCAGCCATGGAGGGCATGGGCTGGGGGCAGGCATTTCTGGGAATGAGCAACCTTTAGAAGCATTTATGGCTGTTGGGAAGGCAATGCGTAAGTGATATTTCTTCTTTTAGGATGGTTCAGGGGAGAGTTTCTGATATCTAACAACTGTTCCTACCATTAGCTCAGTTTAAGTCCCAAGGGTGTTGGGTTTATGAGCCTCCAGGGAAAGAATGTTAATCATATTTTGCAGGCGAAACTGAGATTAAAAAAATAAAATAGTAAGTTTGTGACTTGACCAAAACGACAGACGGAGGTAGTGTCAGGATGGCAAGTGCTCTATCACTTCCCCTAACCACGGGGCTGTGCTTCTTCCTCTGAAAGGTCTTGCTGGGAATCCTTGGGAGCTCTTAAAAGTGCCACTGGAAGAATCACCGTCCAAGGTGATTTTGGGGAACAACCCAGGGCCTTGGATTTAAGATTTCACAGTGACAGTAATACGGTTTGGTGTACTCTGTCCTATATTGGGTCTCTGCTGGCTGTAATACCTAGCCAAGGTGCAAGGCTTATTGGGACTCTCTTCCTTAGCTCTCGTGGGCAATGGATGAGGCCTTGTCGAGACCCATTGACACGTGGGACTTGCCTCAAGACAGGACTTGAGGGTCCCTAGATTGTACCCTCACTTCCAGGAGAGCTCATGAAACCCCGTGCATAGCTATGCCGGCAGCCCCACCAGTCCTGTCTGGTTTTCCACCTATTCCTGACAGCTTTGAGGCATTTTTCCACCTTCTTTTGGATGCAATATATCTCTTTGTCTTCTTTCCTGTTGAACCTTTGGGAACCAGCCCCTTCAGTGGTGGGAGAGGTGTGCTCTGAGAGGAGCAGAATAATTGACTCCATTCAGTTGCCTCGTTGCTTATTGACCGAGTTAATGGCAGTACTTAGCCATGAAGACCTCATTAGCGTATATTGTAAAAGATATAAAATGGTCCTGCCATAGCTTCAGCTCTGTGCAGATCAGCCCTTTAGTTACCTGTGGAGAAGGGCAGGAAAGCCTCTCTCTTTACAAAATTCCCTTCAGCGTCAAGGAAGTGGTTGGGGTTGAACTGATGTGGTGTCTCCCATTGCGTCTTATCCAGCAGCACTGAGGTGAGCGACGGGATTACAATTATACCCTGGAAGAAAAGAACATGAAGGCACAAAAGATAGCAAAAGTGCTCTGTTTTGGTTCATTTTGTGACACAGATGTTGGTGTCCCAGGAGATTTGCTCCACCTGGGGTAGGTGGTGACCCTGAGGGTTTTATCCCATCAGCCAGTAGAGAGAGAAGTCAGTGAGGTTTTCCCAGCAGTGCCAAGGAATGAAGCCAAACCCCACATGGCGCTGTGAAAACCTCAAGCAGAGGGTCAGATCCTGTAAATTCCCTGGCAGATACTTCACTGTGCAGATGGCATCAAGGAGGTAAACCAGGATCGCTTGTGCAGTGAGGAAGTCCTGAGCATGAGAGGGACTGAATTGAATCCTACAATACCAGTCTCTCTGGACTCAACATTAGTCACTGGAGAGGAAGAAACTCTTCTGGGGGTGATTTTGGATGCTTACTTTGGGCTTCAGTCCTATAATTCCCTCTGAAGAAACCAGTCTTTAATGGCACTCGCAAAAGTGAGGTGGTGTGTTCCTGGGCTGGAGCAGTTACCTACCTTGGGAAGGAAGTAGCCCCTGAAGTGGGTGTCAACAGCAGTGCAGCGGGGAACGTGGGGCAGGAGGGTGATAAACCTCTGCACTTCGTGTAGCACTGCATTTGTAAACGGCATGTTCTTCCGATCCTCATATGTGGCCCAGCTTCCAGCTTTGACGGTTCTCCCAATCTCCTCCTGCACCTTTTCTGGAAGGAACAAACACGGTTGGATTCCAGCAAGAAAGCCAGTTCCCACTTCAGTTTTGGGAAAAATATATTTTTCCAGGGTCTGGAGGGAAAGAATTCTTAAAACACCAGCCTGGGTTTCCCAGCTCTATTTCTAGTTCAGGTACGTGGATGGATTGTTTCCCCAGCATCATACTTCAATCTCCACTCATCCTCTCTCCCAGCAAGGCACAGGGACTATTTGGTTGTGACTTTGATCAGCATCTAATTACATCAGGAGTTCATAGTAATAAACAGATGGGATTCAGCTCTTAAGGCAAAAGAGCTCCTGTGAATCTGAGGCCAGGCCTCTCCCCTCCCCGTATCTGCCACGCCATGGGTGGAGTGTAGGCAAAAGGAGCTCACTTTGAATCTCTGGGTATTTCATCATCAGCAGGATGGCCCACTGGAGCGTTGTGGCTATGGTCTCTGTTCCCGCCATGACCAGGTCGAGTATGGATGCTATTAAGTTGTCATCGTGGAAGAGGCTGTCTTTCTTGTTTTTCTCCTTGAAAAACACAAGTGGTAAGAAAGGTCTTAAAACTGTCTTAGTATTCAGCAAGCTTGGGAAATACTGCATAGCCTACAACACTGTTGACTATGATCTTGTGTTCATGAACTGGGTAATAAAATAGACCTGATCATGAATGCACAGCATTCACCAAAGATGGGAGCACCAAAGTTGGAATGTTTGGAGCGGCGTTTTGGTTCGGCATCCATCTCCACCCAGAAGCAGGCTGAAGCCCAGGGCCAGATGCTGTTCACAGACTCAGCCTCACAAGTTTGGAAAGAATCATAGGATCATAGAATCATTTAGGTTGGAAAGGACCTTTAAGATCATCGAGTCCAACTGTTAACCTAGCACTGACAAGTCCACCACTAAACCATGTCCCTAAGCACCACGTCTACAGATCTTTTAAATACCTCCAGGGATGGTGACTCAACTACTTCCCTGGGCAGCCTGTTCCAGTGCTTGACAACCCTTTCAGTGAAGAAAGTTTTCCTAATATCCAAACTAAACCTCCCCCGGTGCAACTTGAGGCCCTTTCCTCTCGTCCTATCACTTGTTACTTGGCAGAAGAGACCGACCCCCACCTCGCTACAACCTCCTTTCAGG